CCAGTCCCTCTCAGTGTCCAGTCTCTGTCTCAGTGTCCAGTCTCTCTGTCTCTCTCTCTGTGTGTGTACATTCTCTCTCTCTCTCTCTCTGCGTACAGTTTCTCTCCCTCTCTCTGTGTACATTCTGTCTCTCACGCTGTCCAGTCCCTCGGTGTGCAGCCTGTGGCCTGCCTGCCTGCCGGATGCGGTGGTTTGAAGGCAGCCAGTGCCTGGAAATGAGCCTGGGGGCTGGCTTGATCTCGGAGCCAGAGAGAGAGAGAGGGAGAGAGGAGGCGGGGAGCTAGAGCCGTGTGTCTCTGTGTGTGTCTTTATGCATATGTGTGTGTGTGTGGGTGTGTGCCTGTGTATGTGTGTCAGTGTGTGTCTTTATGCATATGTGTGTGTGTGTGTGTGGGTGTGTGCATGTGCCTGTGTATGTGTGTCAGTGTGTATGTGTGTGTCTTTGTGTATATATGTGTGTGTGTGTATGTGAGTGTGTGTGTGTCCCTCCCCTGCAGCACAGGAGGAGGGTGGACACACACCCACACACATACAAAGAGAGAGAGAGGCTCCTCCTCGGTTGGAGCTTGGGGAATGGGGAGGTGCCTGCATTTGCTGTCGCTCTGACTGTTCCTGTGTGTGCAGTAAGCTGCCTGAAGCAGCAACAGCAGCGTTACCTCGCCGTGAAGCTGTGCCTGTCCCCGCTCTGGGATCTCCCTGTGCAGTAAAGGCAGCATTAACCCCCCTCCCTCCATCCCCACTCCCACACACAGGAGCTGGCTACATCCCCTCCCCACTCTCCTCCTCCAGCCTCCTCCCCCCACCTGGACGGCACCTCTTCCTCTCCTCGGTGCATCATCTGAAAGCCGGGGCTCCACTGTTCTGCATGACTCCGGGATCGAGCCTCACCATCGCCCTCCTGCTCCCGCTCACCTGCGGTAAGTTGTTTTCCTTGTTCGGTCGGGATCTAGCAGCAACATAGCCTGAGCCAACTTGCTAACCGAGGGGTTTCCAAAGTTTTGCAAACTTTTCCAGGGGTTGGGCTTGAGCTGGGTGGGTGGGTTGCTGCCTGGAGGTTAGCTTTTGATTTTATTCAGTGAAGAGGAGAGGGGAGAGCTGGTATTTCAATCAGTTTGTCCCTGCTCTTGCTAAGATGTGTGTGTTTCTCTCTCTCTGTCTCTGTGTGGAAGCTCAGTCTGCACCCAGCTCCTGAAAGTGACCCAGTGCAGTCCTGAAGAAGGGTCATACCCGAAACGTTGACTGCTCCTTTCCTTCAGGTGCTGCCCGGCCTGCTGTGTTCTTCCAGCCTCTTGTATGTCTGTCCTGGTGGTGTTGTCTGGACCAGGCAGCTTCCCCCCCTCTATCCCCAACATCACCCTCCTCAATCTAACCCTCTCCCTGCTGGGCAGAGAGCCCCAGGAAGCAGCTCCAGCGGTGTCAAGTGGACTTTGTAAAGTATTTCCGAAAGAATGTTTGTGATTTTATAGAGCCATACAGCATGGAAACAGACCCTTCAGTCCAAGTCTTCTGTGTTCACCAGATATCCTCAATTAATCTGGTCCCGTTCACCAACAATTGTCCCATATCCTTCTAAACTCTTCCTGTTCATATGCCCATTCAGATGCCTTTTAACTGTTCTAACTGTACGAGCCTCCACCACTTACTGTGACAGCTCACTCTGCACACACACACCACCCTCTGCATGGTCCTTTTTAAATCATTCCCCTCTCACTTTAAACCTATGTCCTCTAGTTTAAACTGTAAAAAACATGGACCTAAAATAACAATGACCCGTGATCTCAGTGACCTAAATTTCATTGACCTCTGGTCTCAGTGACCTCTGATCTCAGTGTCTTCTGATTGAGGTGACCTCTCATTGCAGTTACCTGTGATCTCAGTGACCTCTCATCTCTGTGACCTGTGTTCTTTTTTTCATCGAATCCCTGCAGTGTGGAAACAGGCCCTTTGGCCCAACAAGTCCACACTGACCCTTGGAGCATCCCATTCAGACCCATTCCCCTGTAACCCACCTAATCTACACATCCCTGAACACTACGGGCAATTTAGCGTGGCAAATTCACCTAGCCTGCACATCTTTGGACTGTGGGAGGAAACCGTAGCATCCGGAGGAAACCCACGCAGACACGGGGAGAATGTGCAAACTCCACAGAGACAGTTGCCCCAGGATGGAATTAAACCCGGGTCCCTGGTGCTGTGAGGCAGCAATGCTAGCCACTGAGCCAATGTTTTGCCCCTTTTTGTCTTCTTATTGAAGTGACCTCTGATTTCAGTGATCTCTGTTCTCGGTGATCTCTAATTGCTCTGATCTCTCAACGCAGTGACATCTCATCTCAGTGACATCCAAGTGCAGTGACCTTTCAAGTCAGTGACCATTTGTCTCAGTGACCTGTCATCTTTGAGTCCTCTGATATCAGTGACCCCTAGTCTCAGTGACCTCTCATTTCAGTGACCTCTCATCTTTGAGTCCTCTGATATCAGTGACCCCTAGTCTCAGTGACCTCTGGTCTCCATGATCTCTGACTTCAGTGACTTCAATTCTTAGTGACCTCCCATCGCAGTGTCCTCTGATCTCAGTGAACTCTCCCACGGTTACCTCTGATCTCTGTGACCCATCATCTCACTGATCCCCGTTGCATTAGCCTCTGATCTTAACGACATCTCAGTGACCTCTCATTGCAGTGATCTCTGATCTCAGTGACCTCTGACTTCAGTGACCTCCGATTCCAGGGACCTCTCAGTAACCTCTGATCTCAGTGACCTCTGATCTCAGTGACCTCCCATCGTAGTGAGCTCTAGTCTGTAGCTCCCTTGTTGCAGTTGTTGATTATATGAAATTGCAGTGACATTAGTGACATTAACCTGTAAAAGAGCAGTATTCCACTGTTATCCATATTCCACATAAATAATATGATACCGCGGTGACAATGGACAGTGCCAGAAAGTTTGAGGATATTACAGAGCTTCGGGTTATAAGTTTATCCACCAGTGTGGACCTTGAGGAAGTGAAGGCACAAAAGTATTGGAGTCAGGGGAATTGTTAAATTTGGCAGCACAGATTGAGGAAGCAGGCGTCTATGTTCCTGGGGTTTAGAAATACAGGCTTAGAGTGGATAGGCATGTAAACCTGTATAAAACAGGGTTCAGTCTTCACAGCAGTATTGTGCTGTGTACTGGGCTCTGCATTTTAAAATGTAGGTGACAATTTCAGAAAGTATTCAGAAAAGATTTCTGCAGTTGGTTGCAGAGATGAAGGGCAGTGTGGAAGTGTGGCTAGATGTGGTTCCCCTTCTTAGAGAGGCTGAAGGGAGACTTGGTAGAGACGTTCAGAATCATGACAGATACAGAGGAGATAAAGAAAAACCTTGCATTGGTTGAAGGGTTGTGAACTGAAGACAACAATTTAAATTATTGTCAAGAGAGCCACCGGAGATATGAGGAAATTCTTGTTTGCGCAGTGAGTGGTTAGGATCTGGCATGCACTGCATGAGAGTTTGGTGGAGGCAGATTTAATCATGTCATTCATCAGAGAATTGTGTAATTATCTGATGCAAAAAAATAATTGTGGGGCTATGGGAAAGCATGGGCAGAGTAGGACTAGGGGTTCTTTTGCAGAGACCTAGTATGAACACAAGGGGCTGAATGGCCTCTCTCTACGCTGTAATCATTTTGTGACTCTGTCCCCTGCCGCCAAACCCCTCGTTGACCTCTCACTACCTGAAACCTGTTTGCTGTTGCTAATCGATATCCTGCTCCTAGTGGTGCACACGCTCAGAGCAGCATTATGTAAGAGCAGTCGATTATCTGTGCAGTGTTAGCATGCTTTTCTGATGATCCAGCACCCTCCCTGCTTTATATGCTGCTGAGCAGCACTGGAGCTGACCACTTCCCCATCACTGTCTGTTCAATTTGTGACTCAGTACCTGGAGGAGTCGCACTGCTTGTTGGGAGGAAGGAAAGTAGGGGAAAATATTTTCCCAGTGCAGGCATTCCTATTAACTCTTGCCCTGACACGACGAGCGGATTCTTTCCAAAGTGGCACTGAGCTAATTCAGATCGGAAGGTTGTCAGTTCAGTCCTTAATGCTGGTGTGGGAAGAGAGGACAGTAGTGATCTATAATAATACCCAAGTTGATAGGGTTGTTAAGAAGGCGTATGGTGTGTTGGCTTTCATTGGCAGGGGGATTGAGTTTAAGAGCCGTGAGGTTATGCTGCAGCTCTATAAAACTCTGGTTAGACCACACTTGGAATATTGTGTTCAGTTCTGGTCACCTCATTATAGGAAAGATGTGGAAGCTTTAGAGAGGGTGCAGAGGAGATTTACCAGGATGCTGCCTGGACTGGAGAGCAGGTCTTATGAGGAAAGGTTGAGGGAGCGAAGAAGGATGAGAGATGACTTGATAGGGGTGTACAAAATGATGAGAGGCATAGATAGAGTGGATAGTCAGAGACTTTTTCCCAGGGCGGAAATGACTATTACGAGGGGGCATAATTTTAAGGTGATTGGAGGAAGGTGTAGGGGAGATGTCAGAGGTAGATTCTTTACACAGAGAGTGGTGGGTGTGTGGAATGCACTGCCAGCAGTGGTAGTGGAGTCAAATACTTTAGAGACTTTTAAGCGACACTTGGATAGGCACATGGAGGATAGTAAAATGTAGGGTATGCAGGGTAGTTTGATCTTAGTGGGATAATAGGTTGGCACAACATCGTGGGCCGAAGTGTCTGTACAGTGCTGTACTGTTCTCTGTTCTAATAAATAATGAGAGCAGACTCGGGAGCGATCTGAAGCAAGCACAGGGAATGCTGGAGAAACTCGGAACATTTCAAGCCTGGCATGATATTCTTTAGGACCAGAAGAAGACTGTCCCGCAGAAGCATCATACTGGACTCGAAACGTTAACTCTGCTTCTCCTTCCGCGTACGCTGCCAGACCTGCTGAGTTTCTAATGTGCTCTCTGTGGTAACAGCCTGGATCCTGGAAGAGTTTCTGGTGTCACCTATGGGTGGGTAGGATTCGGTCCTGGATAAAATCGGGCTAGACTGTGATGCCACATGTAGTGCAATAGTCTGCACACATAGGAGAGCAGGGGTGGCTCTGGAAGCGTAGAAGGGCAACCATGATTGAACAGAATCGAGAAGAAATAGTAGAGTTGGTATGGTGTGAAGAATAAAGTGTTTGGCAGACTTAAAAAAATAACAATCTCCACTGATTTTTTTTGAAAAAAAAGGTTTACAGAAATGCCAGGGGCCTATTTAGATGGATAACACAGTATGGAGCTGGAGGAACACAGCAGGCCAGGAAGCATCAGAGGAGCGGGAAAGTTGACGTTTCGAGTCGGGACCCCCCGAGCCATTTCTGAAGAAGGGTCCCGACATGAAATGTCAACTTTCCCGCTCCTCTGATGCGGCCTGACCTGTTGTGTTCCTGCAGCTCCGCACTGTGTTATCTCAGACTCCAGCACCTGCACTTCTTACTATCCCTATTTGGATGGATAGTGCTTTTGTCTTTAGGTAGTCCAGGAAGATCTTTAATTGCAGCCAGATCTCTTTCACCTTCAACTGGTACTTCAACTAGGACTAGAGAGCGTTGCCTCAAAATAAAGGGAAGCAGATGTAGGACTGAGGTCAGGAGGAACTTCTTCACCCAAAGGGTTGTGAATCTGTGGAATTCCCTGCCCAGTGAAGCGGTTGAAGCTACCTCGCTGAATGTTTTTAAGGCAAGGCTAGATAAATTTTTGAACAGTAAAGGAATTAAGGGTTATGGTGAGTGGGCGGGTAAGTGGAGCTGAGTCTCAAAAAGATCAGCCATGATCTTATTAAATGGCGGGGCAGGCTCGAGGGGCCAGATGGCCTACTCCTGCTCCTAGTTCTTATGTTCTTACATACTTGTGAGACTGGATTCGATTCTTCAGTTCCAGGA